GACTTCATTCTGAAACGCGGGTTGGTAGAGCAAACAACCCTTCCAGGGCTCACACAGAGGGTCAGGCCTTGTGCTAAGTGTGTCATGCATGGCTCCCACTGAACATGTGAGCATTTGCTCTTAGACCTTTAGGAAATCTTAGGACGAGCACAGTGGTTTCCAAAGATTTCCCCCACCTGAAAAGAATGAATGCAGCCACCAGGGATGGCAGAATTTGGGTGCTAAATAAAATGAAGTGTTTAAAAGATGCCATTGTTTGAAATTAGCCCCTTGGACTGACAGGTAATTACCTTCTGCCACTAGTTTAATTTCTTGTGTAGACCTGGTACAGGAAACCATCCATGGGTGGTAATTTTTTCCCCCTGCAATCTCAGAGGAAATGTAACCAGGTATGAATTAGTGGCACAACTCATATATCAGTAGTCTGTAGCGGGTCTACATAAATCCTTTTCTTTACAGTTATTTAACTGTTTTCAAAATGGTTTCAACAGAAGTAATTCCAATTGCACCAGAAAGGAAACCAGAGTCTTAAAGAAAAATATACTCTCTTTGCTGAGCAAGGCAAACATATCAGTATGCAGAGAAACGAACCAGTCTCTTGTGTTTTATTTCCTTAACAAGTTCACTGAAACACTTGCTCTGTGTCTTTAAAAGGTTGAAAGACAAAGAATTCTGTGGCCACTAAAAAAGTAATGTCTGCAACTGGTTTGCAACCACTTTAAAAGGTCAGGTATTATTTTTTTAATTTGTTTGTTATTCACAGTATTTCATTGTAGGACTTTGCACATATTATAAACATAGCAAGTATTTGGTTTCCTTCAATTAATCAAAAACATTCTCTGGAGAAGAATTTTCTGTTTAAATAATTAGATAACCTGTGATTTTTCCTGCATACTTTATGTATAAACCAACACATTGCTATGGCAAACATAGCCCTCCTTAGAGCCAAGCCCTTATAGACCATTTTCTGTCACGATGTTGCATTTTGACTCTTCCAGGAATGAATATTTGTGAAAAGTGAGAATTTGACACTATTTTTTAAATGTTTATTTTTTTTTGAGAGCTAGAGAGATAGCGCATGAATGGGGGGGAGCAGGGAGAGAGAGAGAGAGAGAGGGAGAGAGAGAATCTGAAACAGTCTCCATACTGTCAGCGCAGAGCCTGTTGTGAGCCAGAATCAAGAGTTGGTGGCTTAACTGACTGAGCCACTCAGGTGCCCCAAGAATCTGATATTATGTAATACTAACTGAAGTCATTCGGTGAAACTGACTTCATTTTAAGAACTAGAAGATGGGAAGAGTACATTTTAAGAGCTAGAAGATGACAATGTACAAACAGATAGCTCTAATAAAAAACACAGTCTTTTTCTATAATCAATGGAACTGATAATAAGCTAATTTAAACCATGACCCATTGCACCCCCTGGGTCCACAGATGAGATGGAAGAATCTGTTGTTATTGGTGTATTCCAAGATCTTCACCCAGCTCACTCACTTAACTCCTTCAAGTTTTTGCTCAAATGTGACCTCGGTGTGGCTTTTCCTAATGACTGTATTTTAAATTTCAACTCTTCCTCACCTTACCAGCATGCCCAATTTCCTTTTCTGGCTTTCTATTTCCCCACAACATTTACCTGATAGAATATATATTTTGTTTATTTGTTTGTTGTTTTTCTCCCTTATCTCAAATGAAGCTCCATGAGCACAGGGAATCTTTTTTTTTTTTTTTTTTTGGTCTATCTTATTCCCTCTCGTATTCCCAGCACCTGGTATGTAGTAAGTGCTCAAAAATGTTTGGTTGATATACAAGTGAAAGTGATATTTGTTTGAAGGTGTCTGTGTGTGGCATCCCCAACTATCTTGGTTTAAAAAAATAAGTTCAGATCAATTATTTTATTTGGTTATTCTTACAACAATACTGGATTTTAAGAAAGGATTATTATCCCAATTCAGCATATGAAGAAACAGGGCTTCCAAGAGTTTCTATGAATTATGTAAAATCAAGGGGCCTGCAAGATGTAGACTCCAGCCTCAGACCCAGATCAATTACTTCCTTTGATGTGCTGATCCTTACCCAACTTGTGCATCTGTTCAGCCCAGGGAATTAATGCTTTGTGCTAGGCATTGATGGTCTCACCTCAGGGAAGTGGATTCCAGCATGAAGATGAGAATGGACTGTGGCTGCTCTGCAGAATGTGACCCCTAACTTCTCCTCAGCTGAGCCTTGTATGTACTTGCCTCTTGGGAGTAGAAGAGCGATTCTTATGGAGGCCATGCCATATTCGCCTCGAAGAACCTCCCTAAAGCCTCCTTACATTGCCACTGAACATTGGACCTGCTTATACTTAAGGCCTCATGTCATGCTGTGGTGAAGGAGGCAATATGCCTGATGGTTACAGATCATGGATCTGAAAACAGGCAGAACCAGACAAAACTTAAGTTTGATGCGGTTGTGACTTTCTTTGGGGGAGATTAATCTGTCTCTTCACCTATAAAACTAGGGTGGTGGTGCCAAGTTCTGATAAATAAATTAGATTTTCAAGTAGAGCATTCATCCTTGTCTTAGGTGTTATTATGATATATCTCCTGAATCTTCTCTAGTACATTATTAGGGTCATAGAAAGCAAGGCACTCTACTGGCTGTATTAGTTTGCTCGGGCTGCTATAACAAAGTACTACAGTTCTGAGTGGTTTAAGCAGTAGAAATTTAAAGTCTCAGTTTTGGAGGCCAGGTGATTCTGAGATCAAGGTGTTGGAATGGTTGGTTCTTTCTGAGGTCTGTGAGGAAGAATCTGTTCTGTACCTCTGCCCTAGTTTCTGGTGGTGTGCTGACAATCTCTGGCATTCTTTAGCTGGTAGAAACATCTCCATCTCCCCTTGGCATTCTACTTATGTGTGCCTCTGTCTAAATTTCCCCTTTTTATAAGGATACCAGTCATATTGGATTAGGTGCCCACCTACTCCAGTCTGATCTCATCTTAACTAAATATGTCTGCAATGATCCTATTTTCAAATAAAGTCACAATCCGAGACCTTAGGGGTTAGCACCTCAACATGCAAATATGTGGTTGGGGGGGAGGGCGAAACACAATTCAATCCATAATACAGGCCCTATCAGTTTTGTATTTGTTTTTATTTTACTTGCATTTTGTAAGTGTCAGGGCATTGCTGCTAAATCCAGTAAGCTTAAAGAAAGGTCACTACTATTCAATACAGAGAGCAAACCGTGGGCTACTGAAGGGGATGTGGATGCAGGGGTGGGTTAAATGGGCAATGGGCATTCAGGAGGGCACTTTTCGGGATGAGCACTGGGTGTCATATGTAAGAGATGAATCACTGGGTTCTACTCCTGAAGCCAAGCCTACACTGTATGCTAACTTGAATTTAAATGAATTCTTTAAAAGTTAAAAAAAAATAATACAGAAATGGCTCTAGGAGGTTCAGAAATAGAGCCGCTTAATAGCAGATTGGTGGCCTTTTGAAGATTGTCCCTCCTCTCAGGTTTACCAGAAGAGGAGGCTCACCTTCAGCTAGTACCTCCTAAGGCTTTGTATTAGGTCTTTGGATCAGGATACATAAGATGCAGGTGACTATTTTGTTCATGACTTTCCAAGCAGGAAAACACAAGTGTTTACATTCTTTCTGATATGTATATAGTGTGGTTATAAAGTAATTAGGTTGGTTCCACAGTCTATACACATGCACTTAGAGCACTGTATTACAATGAAAATTTACATTAAACATTTTTTAATATCTAAATTGCAAAGCTGTACTTTATGCATCCAAATATTTAAAGTTGATATTTCTTCCCCAGATCACTTGCTTAATGTAGTCAGACTTTTGGAGTTGATTTTCAGGCAACAGATATTTTTGGGGACATTTAGGTATGCATTTATAATGCATTCTCTAAGTGGTTGGGGTTGAAATTTTGAGTTGATGTAAATCTCAGGAATTATTATGATGGAAATGAGACTACCCATAGAGCTTGAGATCTTACAGAAAGTCTATAAATATTTGATGGATGAATGAATATATGAATGAATGTAGGGTCAGGGGAGGAAGTGAAGTCATTTCTTTTAAATTCCATTTGAACCAATGAAATAATCAACTTACAGTGAATATTATACTTACGGGAGAAGATAACATATTTTTTAAACTGTGAAAGCAAGTTTTAATTTTGTTATCATTTTATTTCTATACGCTGGATTTTCTTGTGACACCTTGGCTCTCCCCTACATCTTCTACTTTGTGACTGATGATTTCAAGCACTCTGTAATGAAAGGGGCCTCTAAGAAAAGCAGGTTGAGAGCAGACAGAATGAGCACACATTTGCATAGGGCAGGAAGGGCACTATAACATCTGGCAGTGGTAGCCGACTGCGTCCATTTGTGGGTGCTCATTAAATTCACATTAATGCATGAGCTGCTCTGAATGTGTAAATGCGATTTCGGGTTGGTTGCTTTCTCCCAGGCCAATGGCGATGACTTTTGGGGCTCTACCCCCTGGTTGTTTACTTGCCAATGGCATTTGACCTGGGGTCAGACCTGTATTTAACCCTTTCCTGTAGGTCAAAACCAAATTAATTTGGCGAGAATTAAATTGGAAACGAGTCGTCTGTACAGCAGGTGTTCCGTGTGGAGAATGTGCCCCAGGTGGAAACATTTTGAGATCTGTTCCTGGGTCATCTCTGAAGAAGCTTCAGAGGTCAGAGAGGCAATTCCAAGACATCCCATGTGGTGAGGGGCCTGGAGATGGATGTGAGCAGGTGCCGACTCGGGCGGTTTTCTCAGCAGCTTGGGGGACTTTCAAAGAGGCCCCGTTTGGAGAGAATTTATTCATATATTCATGAACATATATCTGGGGCATTCACTGAGGACTGATTTACTTAGAAGTTGCCCTAAATGATTGGAACTTTACCCTTTGGCCCTACCTCCCACCATCAACCAAGGGCTTTGATTTGAAGGAAAGAAAATAATGCATTTTTCTCTTTCTTTTTTCTAGAAGATGAAGAGGATGAGGAAATGGTAGAGCCTAAAGTTGGCCACGATTCAGAACTGGACAACCAGGACCAGAACCAGGAGGTGACAGAAGGTAGGGCATGGGGGGTGAATTAGGCACCGTCTCATTGTTATTGTTGTTTTTCTTACTAACGCAAGGGGCTATCCTGGTAAGTAAAAATTAAATGCACACTCTGTATGTGGAAGGTTTTCAATACATTACACTTAGCCCCATAAACTGTAACCCCCAAAGCAAGAATCGTTTAGTTTTTGACTGATAGACGCAAATAAATTAGAGAGCTGCCTGGTTGATTCAGTGGGTTAAGCATCCGACTCTTGATTTTGGCTCAGGTCACGATTTCGTGGTCACGAGAGTGAGCCCCGTGTTAGGGTTCATGCTGAGCAGGGAGCCTCTTTAGGATTCTTCCTCTCTCTCTTTCTCTGCCCCTCACCCACTCTCTCACGCGTGAGAGAAAAAAGCAAATAAAATACAAGCTATCCACAATTCCAGCAACAAGTCCAGTCACAATTCAGTAAAATTATTACTAAAGAGTGAAAACATAAGATAATTGTTATTGGTTGTCATGTGACCTAGTTCTCTGCGTCAGATATTCAGAATGATAATAGTAAAGGGAAGCAGCAGGTGTAATTATTTTGTTAATAAATTCTGAAGTTTATTCATGTGATCTGCACAGAAACATTAACAGAGATCATTACTATTGATTCTACTGTTCAAAGTGTTCTTCCACAGCTCTGCCTGTATGAAGCACAAAACTTTCCATGTTCCAGTGATAATAATGATGAGCATTTATTAAGGGCTTGCTGTGTACTCAGCTCTCTCCTTTGCCCTTTACAGATACTATCTACATCTCAAACATGTTTTTGAAGCAGATACTATTATTATTCCTACTTTATAGATGGAGAACCAGGAAGAGAGGTCTAGAAACTTACCCAAGGATCCATACTATATAAGTGCATGAACAGGATTTGAAGTTGACTCCAAAGACCATACATTTCACCATCATGGTATCATCCTGACGTAGCACTGAGTGTCAAAAATAAGGGAGAAAAAAGAAAGACAATAAATCCTACATGTTCTGATTCCCTAAAAATCTAATTTTGTATCCCTTTGAAAAATCTTAGCCCATGGAGATAAAAGAATTTTGAAATCATCATTCTTATTGACAAACAAAGTATGTCTGAAAACAGAGTGTAGATTTAAAAGATTTTTTCCAGGGGTGCCTGGGTGGCTCAGTCGGTTAAGCGTGGGACTCTGGCTCAGGTCATGATCTCGCTTTTGATCTCTGGGTTTGAGCTTTATGATTGCGTGATCATGGGTTTGAGCTCTGTGTTGAGCTTTATGCTGAGAGCTGGGAGCCTGGACCCTGTTTCAGATTCTGTGTCTCCCCCTCCCCCACGCTCTCTCTCAAAAATAAATAAACGTTATAAAAAAATTAAAAATATTCTTCCATATTCCCTGCTAAGTGTCACAAATATAGCTCAACAGAAGTTTAATTAGAAACCCATTTGATTTTTAAATTTTAAAGATGCCTGTGATGAGTGGCTCAGCCGGTTGAACATCCGAGTTTTGATTTCAGCTCAGGTCATGATCCCAGGGTGGTGAGATCCATCCATCCCTGGGCTCTGAGCATAGAGCATGCTTAAGGTCCTCTACCTCTCTCCTTCTGTCCCTCTTCCTGACTCTCTCTCTCTCTCTAAAATAAAAAATTTTTAAATTGAATTAAAGATGCCTGTGGCTCCAGCATGGTATGTGGCACACAGTTGTCACTGGGGACCTTTATAGGAATGAGTACACATTGATCATATGTACTCACTTCAGCCTGCTCAGGCTGAATCACTCAGTGAGTGATTTTGATTACTGTCAAGTTCTGGGTTACAACTAAGGGCAGAGAGTAGATTCAGCATCTTTAACAGTGGCATCCACAGAAGGCACAAGTTATTTTTTCTGACAGAGTCTAAATGCATTTGATTGAAAAGATTTTACCTGAAATTTTAAGAACATTATTTTAAAGCTGGTGAATAGAATATCATCAACACAGGTATAGCAAGAGACAAAATAAGTCAGGATTTATTAAAATAAATACAAGATTTTTCCTCTTGCAAAGTATCCTTAAGCTATTCTGGGTGATAAGGAGCCAAGGTGTCTTTTGTGTGTCTTGACACAGATTCCCTCCCACCCCCACCCCAGCCCCAAACTGTCTTCTCTGGCAACACACTGCAACCCCCGTCTTAAGTTCTGAGCAAAAACACCCTCTAGTTTTAACTGTTACTCATGCTTCATGGAATTGATTAAAGTCCTGTTAAAAGTCAAAAAGGAGTTTGAAGTACATTTCCTGCACTGCTGTGATGTGTGCCTTTTTCTCTATTAATGGCTTTTCTGCAAATTAGCACATAATGGGTTAAAAGCATGTTTATGTTGGCATCAAACTCTCTCTGGCTTTTTTTTTTTTAAGCAAGACAGTATTTTGCAAACTTTTTAAAGAATCTCTAGCAGATATAATCATGGCGCCATTCACACGGCTGCATGGTAGTTAGGGCTGTGTCAGCACTTCCCTTATGAACCTTGAGTTTCAGGGATTTATTACTCAGCCATAAAAATTTGCTCTGGGCTGAAACTTGACATCCACGGTTTCAAACCAGGGAGCACATTTTTGAGAAATCTAGCCTTTTTTGGAGTTAAAAAATGGTGAACAAGAGATGGGGAAAAATCAGTGCTCACTAGGTTTTGACATTTTTGGCCATGTGATAACAAAATACACTGAACAGTAAAGAAATAAGGTTTTGGTATTTTACTGTTTTCACTCCTTTTTTTTTTTTTTTTTTCCACATTGGAGCAGAGAAAACAGCAGGTACATTATAGCTTTTTATCAAATTTTAGGAAATTTCTGTATGTGTTCTGTTATCTTCGTGTTTAGAGATTTAAAACAACAGAATTGGAAACCTAACTCTTGTAAATGCACATTAACTCATAAACCTCACATTAACTTCAGAGAAGGATATCCTTTATTAGTTTGGTTTGGTTTTCTTACTCATGTTTATGAAATGATTTCACTATAAAATCCCATAAGAGCCACTGTCTCTATTTAGTTGGGTTTAATATTTAAGCTATGTGGAAGTTTGTTTCTTTATTTGTTGTCTTTTACATGTACTCTTAAAGAATATTTACAAGATTTCATTTTTTTGTACTGAAACTCAAAGCTGTATCTTTGAAACAAGACATTTCTGAGATGAATATTTTTGTAAGATAGCTTTGGAACTCAAGGAAAGATGGCAAAATACTCAGTATAAATTGTGAATTTCATTACGAATTTTATAGCTTTACAGAGAAAAAAATCCCCCAAGCCAGGAACAAAAAAAATATAATATATAGTTACTAGGTAAATTGCAAAAAATAAATGGAAAAGTACCTATTAAGGTCAATTTTAAAAACTCAAGAAAGCATAGCAATCACCATAAAGACACATATACAAATATTTCATATACAAACCTAAGAGAAATTAACATTTCTATAGTAAAAAAGAATGAACAGTCTACTCTGAAATAAAATGTATACTAGATTTTAATCTTGCAACGACGAAGTCATAGACTTAGACCATCTTCTAAACTTCAGATTTCATGAATTCAGTACATCGTTTTCATAGTTGTTACTCAAGCTAAATATAACTGTTCAGGTGAATTTTAGCAAACATGAAAATTGTCTTGTCATTTAGATCACATATTAGTTATATCTATGTGTTCGACTTTTCATAAGAAATCTTTTTTTTAAAGAAAAAAAGGCCACTTTACATGCATAACATATTTTCAGCGCTTGGCAGAAATAGTCCGTGTTTTGTGTTGCAAAAACAAACAACAAACCTGCTGTAATAGCTCTGCTTAACTTAATAAGAAACACCAATTATTGTCAGTGCCAAAAATCATATATTTTGCTCTGATGTGCCTTTTGCTATTAAATTAATTCATACATTTTCATGCAGTGAACATGTTGAAAATAATTCATTAGGTGTCAGGGATGGAGAAAAGCTGCAGAAACAGATATATCAGGGAGAATTTGGGGGTTAGCCTGGAGGGATACAATTCTGATTCTATTTGTTTGCGCTTGTAGTTTGAACCTTGTGGATTCCATTAATGAATTTTCTTTTATGAAATATGATGTCTAGGGAGGTTTTATCTCTGGTTGTGGTTCCTGAATACTCCATTATGTTTTCATTAGATTATAACAACACTTATCAATTTAAAGATTTTTAAATATGGGAGGTTTGGGGGTTTTATCAAAAATAACCACAGCCCTATTTAATTCCTAAGTTAAATACTGTTTATGACTTTCTAAAAGTACTTGTCTGCACATGCATCTTATTATTTTATGCTAACAAATCATGTCATTTGATCCCTGTTAGACATCAAAGCTTAATATAAAATATATCCTTTGTTTTGCTTCAGTAGCAATTTAATTTCAAGCCAAATATTGCATTGTCAAACATAATATCTGGAGAGGCTACTGCTTCACCTACCTGAACTTGGCCTCTGCAAATACACTTTGATCAGCCATTTATGTTTCTCTTAGAGAAGAAGTTGTATGTCTTGAAAGCTGAGATCAAAGTGACAATAAGCTACAGGGAAGAAAAAATTACAGAAAATTACACAGATACTATTTTTTATTCAAGGTAATAGACCTGTAAGGAGAGAAACAGGTGAAATAGAAGTAACTCAAAAAGATAAACAGAGAATAGAATAGATACTTTTAATATTATTTTTAAAAAGAATACGGAGAAAAACTTCCCATTTCTCTGCTTAATTTCAGATGGGTCTCAAGTCATCCATCAATAGTAACTAAGATCTGAACATAGCTTTTAGAATAAGACATACCTTCTTGGTATCCCATGTTTGGTGAAGTTTATTTATTTATGTGACAGTACTGTCAAAACAAAATGAACCTAATGGTTTTTAGGGTTTTTTTCCCCCTTTTGCTTGGTTACATTTAGTAGTTTTACTATTTTCTTGAACTTACATGAGAGTGAAAAATCCAAATGCTTCATTCATGGGAGTTTTAGAAAGTAGACTAATAAATTACTACTTAATTACTAACTATTGGATGGTTGGCTTAAAGTTTTGGTATCATTACCCCATTTTATAGATAAAACGCTACTCTGAGAGCTTTAATTGATTAAAGAATCAAAGTTATCAGAGGACAGAGTCAATGTTGTATTCCAGGTTGGTTTTGCAGAGTTCTTGTAATTTTACCACACATTGCTAGCTTCACCTTTTCTCAAACTAGTGTACCAGCAACTCTGCCCAGCAGGTGTTGATGGAGGTTCCTGGAGAGTCTCAATACACATCAGCATATTAAGGGCCCTGGAGGCTCAGCAGCAAAGAAGGAGGGCTACTAGAGACTGCAGTGTAAACTGTTTTGGGAAATGAGCATCTGCTATAGTAGGTGAATCATGTTTTGCTATAGACTGGAGAACATTTTTCAAGGTGTGAACCAACTGCATAATAATAATTCTCGTTTCTTGTAAAAATACAGATTCTGGAGACCTGCCAGATCTCTTGCATTGTGGTCTAGATCAGGGAGTGGAAGGTCAGAAGGGGAAGACATTCTGAACATTAAAGGCTTGAAATCCGTGGCTCTGCAGAAGGGCTTCTAGACAGTTCAGTTTTCTCAGGACAATGGCTTCAGGATACTAGTCACAGTTCCATAAAACCTGCGGCCACTGACTGCACCTGCATGGTTTCTCTGACCAAGGGGCCAGGTAGAAATGGTTATGGGGGTGGTAGTGGAGGTTTTGGGCAAGCCTGTGGGTGAGAGACCCCTCTAGGAATTCTGTGCTGATTTCACTGCGCTCCCCTCCTCCTCTCACTTAAATTCCAGGACCTTCTGGTCCGACAGAAAGTAATACATCAAACGTGTATTGAATGCTTTCTGCAAAGGAGTTGAACTGGGGTTTCTGAAGAACCACAAAAGTTTAGCTGACAGTTTCTACCTTTGAGGGCTTCTCAGTCCGGGGGAGTTCCTAATTCTTTCTCAAGGAATAGCCTGTGTTGCCCGATCGTGACTCTGAGGTGAACCGACTTTCAGACACTATGACGTACTGCTAATTATGTCATCTCGTTTTCCTCATTTTGTGTCTTCAAATTTAGTTCAGTAAGATTAATCATGCTAGAAAAAAAGGCATGAAAATGATTTTGAGGTGTCTTCTAGAAGTGTTCATTCATTCCACATGTTTGTTTAAAAGCAGAAGGTATCTCAGGTGAAAGCAGGTTGGAAGGTCACGTTTCAGTTCTTGAGTACAACCTGTGTAACAGTCAGCCAGCCTTACCAACTACCCATCTAAAGTAGAACGAACGTATCTAGCAGAGAGAGGAAAGATGCTACCCAGATGATACTACAGACAGTTCTTAGTGATTCCACATGTGCAGCTTTACAGTAGTATCCAGTATGTATAGTTTTATAGATTTTTCTATTATGTACTGTTTGAGCTGTTTTTCAAGTTCAGTTTTAAAGAAAGTAACATTCAGAACTGATTGCTAAAAAACACTAATCTATTTTCATTTGTAATCCTTTTCTACTCTTCAAAGTAGTAATTAGTCCAAATATGAACTCTTTTTTTGTAATTAGCAGGGGAGACATCTGTAAAAACCTTTGGTGTGAATTTAGAGTTATTTAGAGTTTGGTTCTAAATAATCTTTGGAGTTATTTAGAACCAATATTAACAATGGTTTATTTCACTGTCTGATTCCTTTTCTGGTAAGTAGTGTCTTTCAAGAGTTTCATTCCTCTTGGGATGCCTGGGTGGCTTAGTCGGTTAAGCGTCCGACTTTCGCTTAGGTCATGATCTCGCGGTTCATGGGTTCCAGCCCCGCGTCGGGCTCTGTGCTGACTGCCAGCTCAGAGCCTGGAGCCTATTTCAGAGTCTGTGTCTCCCTCTCTCTCTGACCCTCCCCTGCTCACGCTGTCTCTCTCTCTCTCCCCTAGAAATAAATAAAAATATTTAAAAAAAAAAAAAAAGAGTTGAATTCCTCTTGAAATGTTTTTTAATTGTCCTTTTCTTCTTCCCTAACAATCTCTTTTACTTAAAAGCCCCTCCACGGGAGCTGACAGAGGAAGAAAAACAGCAGATCCTTCATTCAGAGGAATTTCTCATCTTTTTTGATCGGACAATACGGGTAATTGAAAGAGCACTAGCAGAAGACTCTGACATCTTCTTTGACTACAGCGGTCGAGAGTTAGAGGAAAAAGATGGGTTAGTTTCTTGAGTGTGTGTTTAAAAAAAAAATACTGCGATAAATTCTTGTTGATTCTAAATTCACTTATGTATTGACTAGGCAAATCTCAAACCAAACAAATCAGAGGAGGTTGAAATTCCAGGGTTGATCTTGCTGAACAGCTTTGACTAAGGGCTTTGGTTATAACTTCTGGCTTAGAGTTTCCCTGTAATTATCATGTGCTTCCGTGAAATGCTTTTGAACTTGATATCTGGGGAACAGTCCAGGTGATAGAGACTGGCAGAGTCACGTACATTGTCCTCTGAGAAAACATTCTTATAAGCAGCAAAGGAGATTTGTGTTATATCCAGCAGATCTATTTTTGATGTCTAAGCAAACAGGAAGCTGAGCAAAATAAACATGAGATATGGGAGCCCTTCACTGATGTTGGGAACAGCTAAGAGAGACTGCAACCTTTTTCTTCTTTTTGATACCATGAGTATATGTGTATGTCTTGTAGGAATCACACGTACAGGGATATGTTTAAAGATAAAATAAAAACTAATCAATAAAAGCAAATGATCCCCCAAATGCCTTGTTCTGAGATGGCAGCACATGTAATGTAAAAGGCAGTGGCAGTCAACCATCACCCGGGCATTCTGGGAGGTACTTTACGAGCTTTAAAGAAATAAAGCAAGCCGGTTTAGAGCCACTGATTTCTTTTGGTCAAGAGCAATATGAAAAGTTGTGATCACCTGTCTTATTCATCAGACTTGGCTTTTTACTGTTTCTAAAATTCAAATACATTCTTAAAGGATAATGTATCATCACTGAGGATACTTAAGGGAATGTAACAGAGGCTCCAAAAACAGTTTCAAAATGAGCTTCTGAAAATATTCTACACAGTTAACAACATCATTAGACAACTTTGTAGAGACACGAATAGTTTGCATATACACTTTATGAGATGCTTTTGTTCTTTGAAAAAGCCATTACTCTGTGGCTCAGTTGATTTTCTGTGCCCTGTTTCCTTCTGGGTGCCTGGCAGTTACTTGGGTGTGCATACCACTTGCCTGAGTTTGCAGTGGTGGAGTTGAGGAAGGGTTAGCAGGGGGGAAAAAAGTCCTAAATCAGCTGATTGGAGCCCAAGTAAATAGTCAGGAGCCAAGTGCCCGTCTGAACAAGGGCCGTATAAGTGATACAGGATGCAAGGCAGTGGGATGCAACAAATGAACAGAAGAAACTGATTGTGGAGAAATTTTTGAACTGATGCTGAAGAAATATAGGCAGCTTTTTGTGGAGATCCAAAAGCTGCTGGCACAGAAGAAGCACTACTCAATCTGCACTCAGAGCAAATGCATGACCAGTGCATGGCTCTTCAAAGGAGGTTTTGTGGCCAGTTGAGTATCAATCACCCAAGCAAACAGTGGCCAAAGTGTATTCCTGGACCCAGATGATGTTTTGGTCTGTTTTAAGTATCTACTACTTTTGGTGAATCCCCTGCTCTCCACTATGCCTGTCTCGTGATAAAATCTATCACTTGCTATTGAGCAGGGAGGCAATGTTACAGCCAATCTGATATTACAGGTAACTATAAACATGCGTATCATCTCTGGTCTAAGGTGAGATGAGGTGGTATTGATAGTAAAGAATCTCCAAGTGGGCTGTGCTCCCTTGATAGCTGGGAGATTTCTAGTAAATTCTGCTTCAAGATAGAACTTATTAGGAGGAAGAGAAGGCTTTAGGGACTGATCAAGGTGAGTGTCAGATAATTATTTGACATTTCATACCAGGTTTAAAGCAACACATGGAAATCTTTCCTGGGCCAGGTTAGGGAGGGCTTTTCATAAAGGACACCACCTTTATTTATTTATGATCAGTGTTTGCTATGTAAATTGAGGCTTTGGCCTCAGGGAGTGCCATGCTTTTGCCATTTCACTCTTTCCAGGTAAGTAGCAGAGATGAAGCCCCTTTCTGAAGCATATTTGTCTTTGATGTTTAAACCCTTCTAGGGATGTCCAGGCTGGAGCCAACCTTTCTTTCAATCGTCAGTTCTACGATGAGCATTGGTCCAAGCACCGAGTGGTCACTTGCATGGACTGGTCTCTGCAGGTAAGAATTATTGCTGGGATGGGACAAACTGGGTTGTGTCCTCAGGGCATTTGTATTTTACAAATGAGAGATTTCTCCGTTATTTAGATATGTTCATTAACCGACACTCTTTTTCTATGCCTCTTGGTTTTCTTTCCCATTTTACTAAACTTCCAGTTTAAATTTTGCACTCTGTTATTCATATACATTGAGTTGTTACTCTGTGCTAGGTACCAAACAAGGAGCCAGGCCATCTTGTCTGTAAAACTGTGATCATTAAGGTCACTGGTGATTTCCTATGCATCAAATCCTGTGGCTATTTTAAGCCTTCATCTGCCCTGATTTCTCTGTCATCCAGCTTAGTTGACTTCCTCATATTCTAAAAACAATATCCTTCCATAGAGTTCCATAGCATTACTCTCTGCTGGTTCTCAGACTTCCTCAAAACTTCTTTTGTCTTGTACACTGCTGTGGTCCTCATGGTCGTGCCCCCAGCCTCTCCTTTTCCTCCCAGCATGCTGTCTGGGGGAGATCTCTTCCACTTCTATGGATTCAACCATCACGTGGCATCCTCCCATCCCCCTCCTAACACCAGACAGATCCACTCAGGTGTCTCCTAGAATCTGTAATCACTAATTCATTATTTTCACATATCTGAACTTTTTTCCTACTGCATTCCTTCTAAGTTAAAGACATCACAGTATACCCAAGGGTCTAAAGTAGAACTTTCATCATTAACATTAGCAACTCTTCCCCCTTAATCTCCCAGACCCAGTCTGTCACCAAGACAATCTGTTTCTCCACTCATATATTTATCACCTTACATCTGTGATATTCCTAACCTTCTAACTGGCCTTTCTTCATCCATGCTTATTCAGCTATCGTTTTCCCTCTGGACCCCTAGCCATATTATCTTTCTAAAATGCAAATCCGATCACTCCACTCCCTGGATTAAAACTCCCTGTTGCCTATAAGAGAAAAGTCTATGTTCCTTAGTGAGCTCTTCAGAGTGAAAGTAGGCAAATTTACCAAAAGTCACTTTGCTGAAGAACCAACTCAACTACTTGGCAGGTTACCCAGGACTGAGCAGTTAAACAATGTGCACAAACACACACAGCCTAGTTGTAGTTGTGAGGTGGCCAGAGTTTGAACCCAGATGGCCTGACCTCTGAGCCCATGTTTGTAACAACCATGCTGTGTTCCTTCCCGCACTGACATAATAGCAGTGAGGAAAATTGGAATACATTCTGGACATGTATGTGCAGCATAGTTTCTGTTTTCTTAGAGTGTATGTTTTTTGGGGGGAATCATAATCATGGCTAGCTTTTTTTAAAAATCATGGCTAACTTTTAATTTGTGTTTCTTATGCGCTAAGCACTGTGCCAACTTCTCTGAAGCCATTACCTTATTGCAGCCTCGTAACTCAGATGAGGCAGCCACCATTACTATTTCCATTTTGCATCTGAAGAAATTGAGGCTCAGAGAAGCTAAGTAACTTACTAAGAATCACTCAGCCAGAATGTGGTAGTGTGGGGATTTGAATTCTAGTCCTTTGCACTTCAGGGCTATTCTCTTTACCATTGCCTTTCACAAAGGACTTTTGAATCTGGAACCAAGAGAGGTTGTAAGTGCTGAGTGATATGGGGCAGACAGCAAGAACAGGCTCTGTCTCTGGGAGACTGGGATTTATACAAATAGAGGGGAGGGGAGTGTGTTCTAGGCAGAGCTGTGAAACAGATGATGTGAAGAGCCTCGTTTAATCCTACTGGAGAACAGGAGAACTGAAGAGGAGTGTAATCTGTCACAACGAGACTGTCATCAGCCACCAAGTGGGCCAGTGTTCTCTCCTCTTGAACCTCCTTTTACATCCAAACAGAGCACACAGTGCATGATCACGAAGAGACTAATATAAGCAGGGCTGGCCCGGCCACTTCCCGCCAGTGTGTGGGTGGTCTGTGAGCACTCTCGGGTGTATGCACAGAAATTAGATCCAAGCCTGAGGAAACACTTAGCTCGGCTTGTTCACTTGTTCTGAGTCTGGAAATTACACAGGAACCTTATCTGACACATTCCTCAAAGGCAACCTCTACTGTGTGCCCGGGTTGGTTGATAACGCTCCTTGAGGAATTGGCGGGGAAAGCAGCAGTGGGGCTGGTCCCTGCCTGGCCACAGGGTGTGACCACCATATTGGCCATGGAAGGATTTGTTTCCACGTGGGGTTCTGTGTGATGGTTTTTTGCAAGAAGTCAAAATGTAAGGGGCAGAAACTACCACAGAGAGACCGCATGTACTTTTCACCATTTTTGGGTAACCTGCTCATCTGTACTGTAGAGGAGAGGTTTGTGATTCTGAAAAGCATATTGTATATGGAGCATGAGAAAAAGGATTTGGAATCCTCAGCTCCTATGTCGTAAGATTTTTATGAGGTTCAAAGGACCCGATTTATATGGTTATGGGCTGCTGATTTCTAAATGAACCTTGATGCAATTCAGTAATATTAAGAAAGAAGAGTGAGGGAGACACAGTCTTGGAGTCTAGCAGTGGTGTGTATGTCTAGGGGGTTTACCTGAGTGGAAAAGAGGAGAGAACAAGGAAGAAACTGTAAGGTTTCTACATGACTTTGCTTTGATCTCCTGGGCTTCTCAAGTTAGAACACTTTAACTTTACAACATTTGTCAAATATCCATCAAACATCATTCCCTGAAAGAAACGGTGGCACTTGGCCTATTCTGTCAGCTTTGTCATTCACTGACCATTGTTGAACAGTGTGAGTCAATAATACTGTCCACATACCACACGAGAGCTTTTCCAGGCTTGTACAAAACCACGTGCATGACCTTACTCCTACCGTATATACTCCTCTCCCATGTAAATTACATCCTTCAACCTTGCAGTTACCCAAGATACAAATCCGAGTAATCTCTGATAGTTCATTTCTTTTCCAAATCCAATCAAACTTACAGTGGCAAGAAGACTCCCACCGATACCAGTCCAAATCCACTAGCAGGTGGGGTTTGACACGGACTTTATGCCATGCCCTCTACTTCTTGCTTATCTTAGGAAATGGCTTCCTAACTGTCTTTCTACCTCCAGTCTGTACACTGTTGTGTCATTATAAGTACTTTGACCAGATTGATTTTCGTAATGATTACTTATAAACTCTTGGTATCACCTTGAGCAAGTTGCCTGGCTTCTCTTTGCTTTTAGCTTCCTCATAAAACGATGATAATAATACCTCACAAATATGCTTACTGTGGGTACTACATGAGTTAATGCACTTAAAGCAGTAGGACTTAAAAAGTATCTAGTACATGGGAAGTGCTCAATAAATGTGGCATCGTAGTGAAAGTAGTAGTGGCAGTAGTATTAGTAGCTGCTAAATAGAACTCCTCCTGTCCTCAGAGTAAAGTCTAAAATCATCAGCCTGCACTCAGCAACGTCTGTTAGGATGCCCAGATGCATTTCCAGCTCTTTCTGCTGACTTACACCTTCATATAACCTTCCTCCCAGTCAAATGCTACAGCCTGAAACCTCTTGAATATGTTCCACATTGCATTAGTTAAGAACACTTTACCTTTGGTTAGCATGAGCAAAGAGGGGGATTTACTGGGGAGGCCCTGATGTACTTAGGAAATGCATTGAAAAGAAGAACTGGGACTCAGGAAGCGTAGAAATCTGGGCCACTTGAGGGACTTCAGCAACAGATGCTGTCATAACCTGACTCACGTGCCAGCCCACAGGTTCTGTGTCTTAGTTCAAAATTTACCATAGCCAGTTCAGAGGATACGATCTGTGCTGGGTCAAGTATCAACCCTGCACTGAACTAATTGTCCCTGAGAAGTTAGATACCTGTGTATTGAAGGAATCTCCAAAAATGAGAGAATTGCTATGAACCAGGCAGATGACCGAGAGAAATCTCCTGCACTCATAGTTGTACCCTTGGCCACATTCCCCTCTCTTCTCTCCCAGTAACTTACCCACTGACAAGGTCCTCTGCATAGATCCTTTCTTCTTAGAAGTCTTTTCCAGTTTCTTTCCCTGACACATCCCATCCCAACTACGGTGGTTCTTTCCTCATCTGTACTTCTAAGGAGCCTTGTCTACACTTGCATTTTAGCACATACTATGCTCTGCCTGTAAGTTTGCATTATAGTTATTCATACACGTGTTTTAACTCCCTCTACTTAAGGGTGAGCTCCTATAGAGCAAAGCATGTTATTGTTGACATTCTTGTCCCACATTTCACCTGATGCAGTGAATTACATATACATAGGAGGCACTGGACACACCACAGTGGACTGGAAGGGACATGGCGTTTGAAGCCTCAAGTAAGGCTCTCACTTCTTTGTTTATTAGCTACATAACTCATAACGAGTTACTTACCCTGAGACCCTTGCTTCTTCATCTGTAAGGCTGGGAAAGCCACCTCTGCTCCTGAGGATGGCAAGGACTCAATGAGTGAATGTATCACCGAACTCAGTATCTGACACATAATAGGCCTCGAAAACATGGTGGTTTCTTCTTCTCTGATAAATGTCCGATTTTATTTCTCTGTAAGAACAAATAGTTTGAGAGCGGATCTGGTAATCTCCAGTAAAATTCTCCTAGGTTAAAGATTAGATAATTCAGCCTGATGAGTAATTATAAACTCCATAGTTGTTCATATTCCATTTAACATCATAATTTTAATATTCAAGTTTTAAATAACTGTTCACAGATTTATTTTTCATTTTAGAGTAAGAAAAAAGGACTATTCATGTTCAAACAAACAACGGGAAAAGACACATAAGAAGAAACTTTGAAATCATAAAAGCTTACATGAGATATGATTTAAATCAGTATCTTTAGGATTTATGATGCCAGTTGTAGAAATTACGCCAAAGGCATTTCACTGGCATTTTACTAAAACTCTCCAATTTTCAAAAGGAGCTTTAAAGCCAAATAATTTCAACTATTTTTAATGGAAAAAAGGAAAAAAAAAACTACAAGTGGGAGCCAACTATGAGACCCAGATGTGAAGCTGTGGGATATGATTGCAGACACACCTGGCTGCTCATTGGCCACTGTGGTAGTGCTGTTGGTGTTTATAGAGTTGCCTTTCACATGTAACATAGTTAAACTTCAGATGGACAGTCTGGAGACTTCTGTGTTTACCTGGATATTAGTTTCTTTGAATGGGCTTTGAGTCAAAGACCTTTCCTAATGGGCTTTCGATTCAGCCACTGAGGAGCATTTTCTAATAAAGAATGATTACTTCCTCTGCATCAACCAGTCGTAACTTCCTGCAGCTTTCTTAAGCTGAGGCTGCTGAAAACATTAATAAAGCCACCTAGAAGACTTAGGTTTAATCATTTTTGACAGAAAAAAAGTTGATATTTAAAGTTATAAGGACTATCTTCTAACAGAAGTGTGTGTGTGTGCGCGCGCACGTGCACGTGCGTGTAGTGAAAAAGAATGCAAAATTAAGTTATCTATGAGCAAAGAGTGACATAATCTGCTACCATCCTGATGCTGTTTTTAATGGTGCCACCTTATGGGAATGCCATGTAGGAATGGAATTTTCATGAAATGTATTCTAAATCATAAATACCCCTCAAAGATTCATCCCCAGTTTGTTTAATTACACACACAGCACAGAATTCACACAGTGTAAGCAGGTGTTTCTATTCACGTTAGAGTCCTTTTTATTTTTTTGTTGTGATTCTTGTACTTATGCCTTTAATTGTTGGCATTATTTGACAACAAAGGATTAAATATAATGTCTTTTTATGGAGTACAGAATCACTAAAATTAAAAAAAAAAGAGTCTGTATTTTAACAGATTTTGACACAAGTTGATTATATGCTAGGAATTACAAGACAACAGATTTAAAAGTTAATAAAAATTAGTCCCTACACTCAGAGAACTTACAAACTAATAAGAGACAAAGGTGGGAAAACATCATAGTGCAGTTTGACAAATGCTTTAACGGGGGAACACACATAATGCTAAGGGAGCTGATGAGAAGCAAGGAGGGGTGGTGGAAAGTTAGGATTCTCTGAAGGACTTGATATATGTGTTGAATTTTGAAGAATGAATTAATGTTAGGGGTACCAAAGTGGCTCAGTCAGTTTAGCATCTGACTATTGGTTTTGTTTCTGGTCATGATCTCACGGTTCATGGGTTTGAGCTCCACATCAGGGTCCTTACTTCCAGTGTGGAACCTGCTTGGGATTCTCTCTCTCTCCCCTTCTCTCTGCTCCATCCTCCCTTTCTCTCTGCTCCATCCTTGCTCATGCACTCTCTCCCCCAAAATAACATTTAAAAAAAGAATGAGTTAATGGTAGAAACGACACAGAAGAGGCATTCCAATAAAAGTGAGTATTAAACTCCTAGGCAAAAAGCTGTGTCTATGAGCCTCAGAACTAGCCAGTGAGGTCTGGGGGTGGAGGAGAGAGGGCAGGGGGTAAGAGATCAAGCAAAGAAGGTAGAAAATGACTGATCATGAAGGACCCTATATGACCTGGATTTTCTCTTGAGAGTAATGATGAGCCATTGAAGATTTTTAAGCAGAGGAGTGACTTAACCAAATGTATGTTTTGTAAAGTCAAATTAACCAAGGATGGAGAACGGAGTGGTGAGGGTAGGGCCTGGAAAACTTGCAAGAGAAAGCCATTTAGGAAGCTGTAGCTTTTATTCAGATAAGAAATTAGTTTAGGAGGCCCTCACTTTGAGGATGGAAGGAAAATATGCCTTTGAACGGTATTGAGGAAGTAAGAAAACACAGTACGTGGGGAGTAAAAATGAACATGGAGTGTCTAGTTTGGGCCGTTAGGTGAATCTTAGGTAAAAGGCACCAAAAGGAGGGTACATTAGAAGAGCAAGAGGTTTTTATAGAAGGCAATAAGCTCATTCTTATGTATTTTGTATGCATTGCATCTGATGTGTCTATGGATAGCTCGGAGAAATCTCCAGTGTGAAAAAGACCTGTAGCTGAGAGAGAAATCAAGCCTGGAGATATAGGTTTGAACACTGTCAGCATATTAATGCTTATTAAAGCCATTGGAGTAGATGAGATCACCCAGGAAGAATGTATGGACAGAGATTTTTAAAAAGGGCAGAAAACAGTCCACCGCTCCACTGGAATATAGGTATTAGAAAAACCTATAGCTACTAAAAAGAATGGTGAGAAAAATTGTATGGAAGCCAATATAAGAGAAAGGAGGGAGAAGCCCAAATGTCAGATAATGCAGAGAGGTCCAGTAATGTGTGCAGTTTGGTAGTTATCGGTGACTGTGGTAAGCACACCTGGAACACTGGAAGCAGATACCAGATTTTAAGAGGCTGAAGTAGTCGTTGGTACTAAGTATGCCACGATGTAAAAAAAAAAAAAAAAAAAGTGCCATTTACCAACAAACACATGAAGAGATGCTCAACGACACTCATAATCAAGGAAATACAAATCAAAACCACACTGAGATATCACCTCACACCAGTCAGAGTGGCTTAAATGAACAACTCAGCAAACAACAGATGCTGGCGAGGATGTAGAGAAAGGGGCACCTTCTTGCACTGTTGGTGGGAATGCAAACTGGTGCAGCCACTCTGGAAAACAGCGTGGAGCTTCCTCAAAAAATTAAAAATACGACTCAGTGATAGCGCTACTAGGAATTTATCCAAGGGATACAGGAGTTCTGATTCATAGGGACACATGTACCCCGATGTTTATAGCAGCACTTTCAACAATAGCCAAACTATGGAAAGAGCTTAACTGCCCATCAACTGATGAATGATGAAGAAGACGTGATTTATATATACAATGGACTACTACTTGGCAATGAGAAAGAATGAAATCATGCCATTTGCAGCAACGTGGGTAGAACTGGAGGGTATTATGCTGAGTGAAATAAGTCAGTCAAAGAAAGACAGATACCATACGTTTTCACTCATATGTGGAACTTGAGAAACTTAACAGAAGACCATGGAGGAGGGGAAGGGGAAAAATAGTAACAAACAGAGAGGGAGGCAAACCATAAGAAACTCTTAAATACAGAGAACAAACTGAGGGTTGATGGAGGGTGTGGAGGAGAGGGGAAAGTGGGTGAAGGGCATGGAGGAGGGCACTTGTGGGGATGAGCACTGGGTGTTATATGGAAACCAATTTGACAATAAACTATTTTAAAAAAATAAGTGCCATTTAAATTATGGAATATAGCATGTGTCTGTCAGAATAAGGAAGTTTTCCTTGGGTTGGCAACTCGACAATTCATCCTTGTGACCTTTTCCATCCAGTACCCCGAGCTGATGGTTGCTTCCTACAACAACAATGAAGATGCTCCCCATGAACCCGATGGAGTGGCTTTGGTCTGGAACATGAAGTTTAAGAAAACCACACCAGAATACGTCTTCCACTGTCAGGTAGGAGTCAGCATAGTAAAAATAACTTACGTCTCCTACTAGACCAAATATAATTCAGGCTGTCTTGCCTCTTTCTTATGTGGAGAAGAAGAACCCAGTTTAAAAATGGAATCGTTGACAGTTTTGGAAAATTCCCCCACAGTAACCTAACGTTTGGGGAAAGTGGCAACTCTTTCCAAAGGGTTAGGAAGCCGAGTTGGGGATTGTGTGTCATTTTCTTTCTATTTACAACAGCCCCATGAGGATGAGTTTATAAAGAGCTCACACTTATGAAGAAATCCTGGTGTACCACTTCCTCTGCTTAGCAGCAACAGATGCTTGCCAACCCACGTGGACATCCTCAGATCACTAATATTTTGAGTTTCTTCCTCTCTCTGAGATATAGTTCAGATTTGGCCAATTTTAAGTTTACAGGTGCCATCTTGCTTCCAATTAATAAAATTTTTGTAGCTGGTGTAGGGGAGTTCTTATCATGAATCTTTCTTGAATTTTGAGAAATGCAGATGTTGTTTTCAGTTTGCAAGTGCGAAGATCATTTCAAACAGTTCTGGATGTTTTACTCCTTGTGTCTTTTGACACATTTGTCTTCTCTTCTATTCAACATACTACAGGCTGAGATGTATTTTACACTTGCACACATTCAGCCTTACTCTGTTGCCATGACTCTGCCTAAATAATAGGCCTCCCCAGTGGCCAATACACCAACCCCTTTATTAATGTTTCTATCCTGTGATTATGCATAGGAAAATACAAAACAAACATACCAGCTCAAAGTTTTAGCTCCTCAAATATTATAATTCAGAGGTACTGAGTGGCCGATTACTCTGAATACAAATACACCAGCTGAGGAGGGTGGGTAAACCTGTTGATATTTGGAAGCTTGGTGACATTTTATATCTAAGAGCTGGGTATCATTTTGAACTAAAATATGTTTAGACTTTAGAACATTATCAGATATAATTTGGGGAACAGGAGCTGCTGGAATAAAAGTCCCAGCTTCAACCTGATTGAGTAACCTCTAACTCTGGCCATGTTTTTCTAATTTACGATCTTAAAAACAACAAGAAGTCTAGGTCGCCATAGTAAATAACCCCTATTTTTTGGACCTTTGAAATAAGAACAGTTTTTTCTTTCTTTTTTTTTTAAGATTATCAAATTTGTCAGTTTGATATGCTCTTTCTGTAAACATAGAAGCACAAAATTCTAATTTTGTTCAGTTTTAAGAAGTTCACTGAATTACCACGAAAATACTAAAAGGATTATGGGATAAGCAGAAGCACATTTTTGTAAAAAGTGCCATTTAAGCTATTTTGATATTGTAAAAGGCTTATCTTGATTTTTTAAAAATATGAGGTAACACATTTTATTGCTTTGCTCTATGTACATGTTTGTCATATTCTAAGTTTATTATATTAACTGACTACAGGTAGCCTGTGACAATAACAATTTGTTAATATGCTTACTATTCACAGCATTGTGTAGTAGACAGGTCAGTAGGAACCTAATAATGCTGAATGAAGAAGCAGGCTTCCAAGGTCTTTGGAATTAACTGGAATTTTAAAATTAGCTATCTTATCACACAATAGTTAATACCAGTATTGACTGAAAAGAGCATCCTCTCTTTCCTATCCTGGTAACTTTGGGATCATTTACTAAAGATGTCACCAACACACATTTAATTTCATTTTTAGTTTCTCCCTTAAATGATCCAATATATGTATTTTAGAAGAAAATAAACTCCTTATATAAAAAAAGGTACTCTCCATATCTGACCAAAAGATGTTGACTAAAATATGTCTGTTATCTCCCAAATTCCTACTATTATCTTCACTTCTTCACTTCTTCTGGTGACCAGAAGTGAGTGGAGGTTCTAAACTCTTAATTCTCACTAAAAATGAGAATTCTAATATGTTTAAACTTTGGAGTTGATTAAATTACATGTCCAAAAGACCCTGAAGACTCTGATATTCTACCTATTTTAATAAAAGCTACAGAATTTAAACATACATGTTTTAAGATACTGAACATCATGATAGTGCTACTCAGATATAAATGATAAGTAGTTCATATAAATGGTCCTTCATATGGACCATGCAATGGTCCTTTGCATTCAAATGCAAAAAGATGCATTTACAAAATCTTAAGGACACCTAAATGCTAAATATACCACAGTACTTCATTTATGATCCTAATTTTTTTCTTTTAAATTGACCTCAGTGTAGGGCATAGAATGTATTACCAGCTTCAGGAAGGTGAACAGGAAAGAGCTTTGATCCCTCTCTGAAGTGGAGGAAAAGGAAGAAGTGGGCATAGCAAACATTATTATGAAGCCTGTCTGAGGATTCCTGCTGTATTATTAGTCAGACTTCTCCAGAAAAATAGAACCAACAAGAGATAGATAGATAGATAGATAGATAGATAGATAGATAGATGATAGATAGATAGATAGATAGATAGATAGATAGATAGATAGATATAGAGACAGAGATTTAAAATTGGTACTTCGTCAGGAAACTGGTCTTTGCTCTTAAGGCCTTAAACTGATTGAATGAGGCCCACCCACGTTTTGGAGGATAATCTACCTAACTCAAAGTCTATTGATTTACATGTAAATTATATTTTAAAAATACCTTCATACCGACATTTAGGCTTGTATTTGACCAAAATCTAGGTGCCATAGCCTACCCAAGCTGACACATAAAATTAACCATCATATCTGAATTTAACCTCAGAGCAATCCAGGAAATCAACATCTTTAATAACTCCTGGAGTTCTAGTAATTCCATATCACTTTGGGCTAATAAGCAAATATACCTAGAAAGTTCAACTTTGAAATTATTAGACTTTAAGTGATTAGGAGTTTTCCTAAGAGGTGAGTGAGAAAAACACAATAATTTGAGGACATGGTGAATGTCTCCATGGCATTTAATTTATGAAAAAAAGAGACTAACACATATTGAGAATCTACTCTTTATATCTTTACATTTATGGTCATTAAACCCTGTTACTCTCCAGATGAGAACCTGCAGCTCAGAGAAGTCATGAAACTAGGGCAGGTGTCTGTGAATAGCAAGGACAATTTTGAAATCAGGTCTTTTTTATTGCGAAGCACACATATTGCCTCCTGCAATTAGGGGATTTAGCCAGGTAACATCTCTAGGTATGTGGCAAGGGGGGACAGGTGAATAGAGAAGAAATGGAACCAAGCCGTGTTCGCCATCTTAGCTGATATTGCAATCACCAGGACCTCTTTAAGAACTACTGATGTCTGGATTCCACCAGCAGAGATTCTGATTTCATTAGTCTAGGGTCTGGCATGGCATTTTCAAAAGCTGCCATGTCATTTGAATATGCAGTAATATGAATATGCAATAATCACCAGGATGTAGAGGAGAGATGAAGAAAGGGGATGATAAGGTGACAAAACTAGCCGGCCTTTTTATTTGGAAGTGTGGGACTTTTCTTTTTGCCCCACACTTCCTTTTCCTATTTGGCCCAAACTAGAGCTCTGTTTCTTGACTTTATTTCTCTGATACTGATCTCTCCTACTCGACTCAAACTGAGAAGTTTCCTAACCAATTCCCCTGCCCCTTCCCACTTACCCACCCTCGCCCCACAGACCCACACTCTTTTCCTCAGCTCTCTCATTGCTGGGATCTGCCTCTGTGGTAAATGATCAGAAGACCCAGAGTTGTTTTTCCAGGAATGGGCTCAAGACCACATTGAATCTGACATAGGGACAATGTGAATTGGAGACTGCCATGTATTTTGGGATAGTGAGACACCTTGCTAAGTGGATATCCATGAAATTAGGATAAAAGCCAGGTAATACCAGTGACTACTAAAAGAAAACCTAAGTGCTGTAACATGGAGTATGCCTGAGCTGGTGGGAGACCAAACCAGGGGGAACTTGGGCAGCCAGGGAAACCATAGATGAGTTAGTAGATAGATGCCCATTGTAGGGACGGGGGACAATAAGGGCAGTGTGGTTACCATGTACTGAACTCAAATACTTACAGTGATAATTGCATTTGTCTCTATTTTACATTTCCCTAGTGCTTTTCCCTTTATCGTCTCACTGGTCCTTACAACAGGGAGGGAGCAAAGATGTTACTCTCTTTGTTCTACTTGAAGGGGAGACTCGCAAGCAGCAGAACCAATACTGGACCCAAGGCCCTTTCTACCAACTACATCATGCCACCGTCTAGGCCACGTTCCACAGTGGTGGGGCCATATGGGGCTTGAGAGCAAAGGCTGTGTAGTTCATTCAAGATGTATTCTTGGCAGCCTGTAGCATGATATATATTTCTCCATCCCCTTACTTTTAATCTGAAGGTATCTTCCCGTCTAAAATGAGTTTCTTGTAGACAGCATATAGATGGATTTTGTTTTTTAATCCATTCTGCTACCCTATGTCTTTTGATTGGAGCATTCAGCCCATTTACATTCAGTGTTATTATTGAAATATGTGGGTTTAGAGTCTTTGTATCTTTTGTAGGGTTCATGTTTGTGGTGGTGTCTCTGGAATCTTTGTTCCTTGCAACCTTTCCTTCAGAGC